AATGGGATAAAGATTTTATTTTAGTTACAGCGGATGTCACATCCCTGTATACTGTCATTGAACATCTACAGGGATGCGAGGCCATCCAATATGCGCTGGCAACCTACTCAGAACTAAAAAATGATCAAATTGAATACATTGTCAAATGTGTAGCCTTTATACTCAGCCACAACTATTTTTCGGGCAACCATCGTTTTTACCTCCAGATTGAGGGCACAGCCATGGAGACCAGATTTGCACCAAGTTATGCAAACTTATTCATGGGTAAATGGGAAGACGAACATATATGGTCCAATAACCCATATGGCGCAAATCTGGTCTCATGGCATCGCTACATAGACGATTGTATTTTTATTTGAAAAGGAGACACTGCAACACTTGAACATTTTAAAGAATACCTCAATTTTAACCCTTATAATCTCAAATTCACTTTTAATCAATCCACGGAAAAACTGGAATTTTTGGACCTAGAAATTTATGTAAAGAACAACCAATTAGAAACTAAAACTTTTAGGAAAGTAGTAGCATGTAATAGTTTTATCCCTCACAACAGTTTTCATAAAAAAAGTTGGCTTAACAATATTCCATTCAGCCAATTTAGGAGAATCAAAAGAAATTGCTCAGAACCTAATGTTTGTGATGAACAAACTACAAATATGTTATCACAATTTCAAGATAAAGGCTATTCAACAAATATACTCAATGAAGCCTTATCCAAAACCTCAAGCTTGACAAGAGAGCAAATTTTGGCAACAAAATCAAAAACTACTAACATCAATTTAGAAGCTCCAGCATTTATAACCAGATATAATAATCATACTCAGGAATTTTAAAAAATTTTACAAAAAAATTGGAGCATACTAAAAGGTGATCCCCAATTAGATCTAATATTAGAAAATAAACCTAGGATAATATACTCTAGAGCTCCAAATCTAAGTCTACTACTAGCTCCTACCACCAAACAAGAAAAACCACAAGAAAATACCACCATCATTCCAAATAAATCTTCAGGTTTTTGGAAATGTGGAAGATGTCAAGCTTGCAAAAATAATCCAAATCAACCTACTAAAACAACACAATTTGCTCATCCCCAAACACAAGATTTATTTAAAATTAAATCACAACTAACATGTAACACCACTGGTGTAATTTATCTGCTAAAATGCCCCTGTGAGAAATTATACATAGGGCGCACTAAAAGAGCATTTAAAACAAGAATGGGAGAACATATTAGGAATATTAGAAATGGACTTCATTCACATAATCTCTCAAAGCACTTTGATGTTAAACATACGAGAAATCCTGGAGGCCTTACATTTATGGCAATACAAAAAGTAAACATCCCATGGAGAGGAGGGGACTTAAATAAAGAATTAGATAAAGCAGAAGCAAGTTGGATATTCAAACTAGATACATTAGAACCAAAAGGACTTAATGTAGATTTTGAGTTGCGAGCATTTCTATAGTATTTTGTAATATATCTTTTTATTTTTTCTTCAACATGTTCTTATCTTCTCATTTTAATAATTCATATTCATACAAATATATCAATTCTCAAACATCTCTATTGTTCATTCCCATACTATTGATTAAATTTTTCTCCATATTAAAAGTCTTCATCTCCATCTGCACATTGATATATTGAATATATTATATATTTTTAAGGTATCTATATTATCATTTTAACATGTTGCTACATTATTTTTAATATGTTGTTATATCATCATATTATATTATTTTTTAATGATGTTATTATTATTTTTCAACATTTGTTATTTTCTTATATAATACTTTTTAATGATGTGTTCATTCTTCTTATGAAATACCTTTTAATAATGTGTTAATTTTTCCTATAATAATCTCTTAGAATTTTGTTTTATAAGTATTTGTTTTAAATTACGAAATATATTCTTAAATTTATCAAAAGAATGTATGTGTACACCATCAAAATAATTTTAATCACCAGAGCAAGTATGACCACAAGCCTGAA